TGTGAGTGTTAACATGACGGCATACTTGCCATGAGGCTAATTGCTTATATGCTATAACTGCCTGAATGCCTGCGGGTGAAGGTTGGATTGTTTGAGTTGGAACAACTCATTGAAATCCGTGTTTTAGCCTACTTGCGAGTAGCAAATTTCAAACCGATTTCCAAACAAACAGATATGCGATGCTTTGTTCCAAATTAGGCGATCTAGTCTATACTTTTGTGTTGTGCGCATCACATAGTAAGATTAGCTAATTAACCGGAATAAGAACACATAAATTTTCAAAACTAGATATCATGGTTAGTAGAGGCCGATCTTCGGATCGGGCGAGCGGGGGTGCTCATAGATGACCTTCCCCGATCGTACCCAAATTCCCAAGCCGAGGCAATTTTGGTGATGATGGACACGTGGCCTTAGGCAAGGAGTCAGGGTTTCCTAAATCCCCCCAAAATAAAATATTTAGGTGGCGACTCTGTATCTGGCAAAGCAGTCCATGTTTGGCACTTCTTTCAAAAAATCTGTTTTCAAAACGATTTGCCGGATTTGAACTCTTTGATGATTCATCGATCTTGCATTGCACTCTGCAAGATTAGATACAGGATCGTGACGTTGAGTCCTGAACTGTGGTGAGTCCAATGAACAAAACAGGGGATTCCCTCCCAGGACATTCGGGGATGTCTACAGCTCCTAGTTTCCCGTGCGTGCTTGACGTTAGCAAATAACCCAGGGGTTGAGACGGTTAGGTTAGAAGTTGTGTCAGCTCTGAAAAGGTGTCCCCTTTTGACTGACGGGTCATAATGGGCCTAGGGAAGCATGTCGACTTCCCTTTGCTGCTTTCTTTATAAATAGCACCTTTGGGTCCACTGGTCCTCCACTTCTGCCCAAACACAATTTTTGTCTCCTTGTCTTCTTCTATTCCTTGTCCCCACTTTCCAAAGTCTTCTTTACTTTTCTTTATTCTTCCTCATGGCCAGCACAAGGTTTCTACCCGACATGGCTGCCCCACCCCCTACTGAGTGGAGGAGGGCCCCATACTTTGGAGGGCTGGCTGACCCCTTCTGGAAGGCAATTAACTCCTTCATTCCTGATGCCCTTCCTCTGGAGGCGCCTCTGCTCCCGTTTGGTGAGGCTTCTTTGGATAATGCTGATATGGTGAACCTAGTCTCTGTGCTGCGGTTTCGTTTGGAGCATGGAGACTTTCCCCATTCATACATCTACTATGGCACTCACTCGGGCCCTCCAGTAGATTGGTCCCTCTGGGTTGATGACATCATTGCAGATGGCGGCTTCAAGAAGCACTTGAGGGATGTTCGCCTCGTCAATGCCGTTTTGATTTTGAGGGAGTTGTCAGTGTGCAAGGTATAGACCAACACTGACATGGTTGTCTCCCGCTAAAGCCGCAACACTCACACTTTTGCCTTGGCATAGGAAGAGATAACTCCAACCCTCGAAGATGTTGTCATCCTTCTGTGCTTGAGCACCCCTTCGATCCAGCGTCCCTAACTCTTGCAAAACAAGTTGCTGTCGCTGCCCTCCAAGGTGCCTTTTGGGAGATGCAGAAGTATGGCTCCTGGTATGATCTTAGGACTGGGGAATTGCTCCAGGAGAGGCCCAAGAGGGACAAAACCACCTACCTTTCTTAGTTAAAACATTTCTTCAAGGACCTGTAACCAGTTGCGGGCAACATCACAGAGAAGAGTCGCAACTCTGTAGTTAGGCTGGGCTACCGCGGCAACTTGTACTTGGCCATCTTTGCTAGTTACTTCATTTCTTTTTTTGTTCTCCCTAGCAACCCTGCTGCGAGTATCAACCCCTTGGTGTTCCCTTTGGCTGTCAAACTTTGCAGTGGCAGTCAGATCCCTCTGGCCGCTCTTCTATCGGTGGGGATGATTTCATCCCAGATACTCCTAGAGAAGATCGCGGTGTAAGAGAGCTAGTGGAAGTTACACCACCTCCCTTTGGAGCTGTATCTGGTGGTTCTTCATACTCCACTGAGTCTCCACTGGTTTAACAAACCTCACTTCCAAATGTTCAAGTTGTTGAGGGGAGTGCAAGTGTAGCGGTTGCTTCCCTCGTTCCTGCTATGGTCCCCTTAAATTTGGACCGACTTGTAGAGGTAACTATCACCTTAACCACTCATGTTGTTACAACTGTTACTGGGACCTCTGACCTAGTTGCTTTGGCAACTTTTGAGCAGTTCGCGGCCCTATATCCCACTCACTTTCCCGAAGTGCTAGCTGACCTTGGGGTGTCTAAAGATTTTTCTACTGGGATGGATACTACTATTGTACTAGATCTGAACGTTGGAGATTACCAAATGGACGACCTCTTTTCGAAGCGCATGATGGTGCAGGTAGCTTTGCCCTTTCTCACGAGGCCAGGTCACCCGGTCACCACCCAGCAGCTACTCACTTCCTGGTTGCTGGACAATCATCTTCAGGGGAAGTGCCTCGCCCTCAGACCTTTGATCGCACTGCCAGTCTTCCTCCAGTGATTGAAGTTAGCAGCAGTGTGAGAGAGTCCTCTGAGTCCTCAGAGAAAGTTTCTTTTCTAAGTTATTACGTTTCCTCCGAAGCTACTCCCACTCTTGCCCGCATCCAGGTGCTGCACCATGGTACCTTTACAGCTTTCAACATTCCTGGCTCTATGGTGCAGATAGCATTGTTAGAAGCACTTGCCAGCCTCATTCGTGACCTTACTACCAAAAAGAATCTGACAACCCTCAGCAAGTTCGTGGAAAGTGCTGAGGCCAACCTAAGCTGCTTTGAGAGGAACAGTTTGGACCTATTGTAGATAAGGGATAGGCTTCAAGCAGTTGACGGCTTCCTTGAGCATGCAGACAATGTGGTGATGATTGCATCCTTGGAGGAGACTATTAAGGAGTGTGAGGATGCCTTGGAGCAGCATCGGGAAAACCTGGCTCGGTTCAAAGAGAAAGACTCTGCGTTGGTTGCCCAGCTACCTAGGGAGGTGACCCTGATGGACTCCCTTATGAAGGGTTTGATTTGATTTAGTGTGACTCTGTTATGGCTCCTTTTCCTTGTACTTTTACTATTTCTTTCTCTCTTTTTTTTTTCTTTTTTTTTTCTTTTTATTTTTATTTTTTTATTTTTATTTTTTTGTGTTTCTTCTTTGTCACAACTTCTTTTCAAACATTGTAATCATGTTCTAGAAGTTTGACTTTTATGAAAAGTATAGATGTTTGATAGTACTTTTGAGTTTCATTTTATCGCCTACTTTACATTGCTTTTACACAGCTTCTAAAGATAAGAAAAACTCTCGCCATGAACAAAACTTCATCATGACTAAGTCTTTTTTATGGACAAAATTTCACTGAGTATGGAAAATTTTCCTTGCACTGAGTGTTTACAGGAGTAACAGGTTTACTAAGTATATGACACTTTCTTTACACTTTGATTTAGAAGTATAATCAAAGAAACTTACAACTCTTTTTTCTGGACAAAAGAAATTAAGTAAAATACTCTTTGACATACTTGGCATTGATAAGGCCAATTCTGAACCCATCATCTACTCTTGTCAACTTGTAATACCCGCTGCTGCTTGCCTCAGCAACTTTGTAAAGGCCTTCCCATCTTGGCGAGCACTTGGGGATTGGTTGCCCCCGCATGATTGCATCCACTGTTTTCCATACCAAGTCCCTTTCGTTGAATTCCCTGTGTTGAACAGACTGATTGTTGGCGTCAGCTATGGACTGATAATACTTTTCCATTGCCAGCGATACCCGATCCTTCCTTTCTTCGGCTGTCTCTATGTCATTCTTCCTGCTGTCTGGAACTAAGTGTGCTGACATAGCCTTTCTTGCTGAGGGTACAGCTAACTTAACTGGTAACACAGCTTCAGACCCATATACTAGGGAAACTGAGGTTGCCTGAGTTGGTCTTCTTTTTGACGTTCTATACGCCCAGAGTGCTACATGGAATTGTTTAGACCATGTGCCCCCTGCTTCATCCATCATTTTACTCAATATTCGAATGAGGGTTTTGTTGGTGGCCTTAGCTTGTCCATTCCCTTGGAGGTAGTATGGACTAGACTTGTGGTGCTTGATCTGGTAGGCGTCTAGTAGTCTTCCTACATGGCGATTTACAAAAGGAGTTCCATTGTTAGACAGTATTGCTTTGGGTATGCCAAACCTACAAATTATGTTTTCTTTGATAAAGTTGGCTTCTCTTGTCTGCCTTCCTCATTGGTATAGCCTCTACCCACTTGGTACTAACTTTAGTCACTGCAAGTATCCATCTGTGGCCTTTGGATTGCTACGCTATAGGACCTACTAGGTCAAATTCCCAAGTATGAAACAGGTAAGGGGTCTTGATGTTGTGCAGCTTAACTGCCAGTGCATGTATTAAGTTCCCAAATTTCTGGCAGGATTGGCATCTCCTTACAAAGTTTTTAGTATCTTCTTCCATTGTCGGCCAGTAGTAGCCGAGGTGAATAAGATGTCCATATAGTCGCTGCCCTCCTAGATGCTTTGTCTTGTGGGCTTCCCTCAGCACCTAACTTGCCTCATCTTTTGATAAACAAGCCAAAGGTTCCCCTTCAAAACTTCTTCGGTGCAACTTGCCTTGGTCAAGAAAGAAGCAGAGGGCCTGCCTTTTAATGCTAATTGCATTGACTTTGTTCTCAGGCCATGTGCCATTTCTAAGGTAATTAATATATGGCTGCCTCCATTCTTCACTGCTTAGGAAATAGGCTTCCTCTTCCTTAGGATGGGATTGACACTTTGTGCATTGCCTCTGTAACTCAGTACTTTCCTTTCCCATCTCTGCCCAGTAATACCCTTGCCTCTGTATCTGTCGGTATAGACTAATATCTCCATCTCCACAGGACTTAGCATGGATCTGCTTAAGTCTGTAAGTTGCTTCTTGTCTATCAACGCATCTTGCCAGCAGGTTGTTGGGATCACAAAAATTCAACTCTCCTCTGAGGAGCAAAAATGATGCAAGTTTTGTTGACCTGATTATTCTCTGGCATGTTTTCAATTGCTAGATTATATCTGCTTTCCACCCATCAGCACCTTGCTCTGTATGTTTTTCGACTAATACTGCTGGTGTTGTTCTTTTGTCGATGATGATGGCTATACCATCATCTGGTATATCCACCTTTGCCCCCAGTGTAGCTAAGGCATCAGGGAAACGGTTGTGTGTTCGAGGCGTATGCTGGATTTGGACATCATCAAATTGAGTGAGCAACCTTTGAACCACGGTGTGATATGAGGCCAATAGAGTCTCCTTCAATGCGAAATCACCCATTGTTTGCTTGATAACTGGCTTAGAGTCGCCCCAAATTTTCAACTTGCGGAGGCCCTTCTTTTGTGCAGCAATTAGACCCAGTATCATTGCCTCATATTTAACCTCGTTGTTGGAGCATTCGAAGTCAATCTTATGTGAAAGATGAAACTTCTCTCCTTCTTGACTGGTTAGTGTTATGCCAGCTCCACCATTCCCAGCTCCGGAAGTTCCATCAAATTTTAAGTCCCAATAAGTCTCGACTGCGGCCGCTGAGACATGGACCTCACCTGGTAGAGGTACCTTTGCAGGTTCATGTTCTCCTGATGGGAATTGGGCCAGTAAGTCTGCAAGTGCTTGGCTCTTAATAGCCTTGGGAGTAACACAAGTGATGTCATATTCTGCTAAAGCCAAAAGCGATCTGGTCATTCTCCCAGTTAGAGCGGGCTTGCTTAGCAAGTAACGGACTGGATCACTTCGAGTCGTAACCTGGATCGGGTGTGCCAAAAAATAGTGGCACAACTTCTGCGCTGTGAAGATTAAGGCTAAACAATGCCTCTCAATTGGGGTATATCGCGACTCGGTACCATTGACTTTACGACTGATGTAATAGACTAGCTTCTCAATGCCATCTATATCTTAGACAAGTAGAGCTCCAATAGACTGAGGTGCAGAGGTTAGGTATAGTAGTAGAGGCTTGTTGGGTTGTGGGGCATTCATTGTAAATGGAGAGGTTAGTACTTTTTGCACCATATCAAATACCTGTTGGTGTTCTTGTAACCATTCAACTTGTGATTCCCTTTAGCAGTGTCCCAAAGGAAAAAGTTATGTCAACAAGGGCTGGAATGAACCTCCTGAGGTAGGACACTTTGCCTAGGAATTTCTTCAAGGCCTTTTGAGAGTGTGGTGGTGGCATCTCCATAATTGACTTGATCTTATCCGCATCTACTTCAATCCCCTGCTAGTGTACAAGAAAGCCAAGGAACTTGTCGGCGGTAACTCTGAAGGCACACTTGAGAGGATTCATCTGTAGGAAGAATTTGTGGCAACGTTGGAAAACTTTTTCCAAGTTGCAGAGGTGTTGGTTTGCCTTAGTAGACTTTACCACCAGATCATCCACATGTACTTCAAACTGAAGGGCATCACTGTATAGAAAAAATTGACCGCCAGATCATCCACATGAACTTCTCATGGAACACGGCAGTCATAGCCCATGGTAAGTTGCCCTCGTGTTTTTCAAACTGAAGGGCATCACTGTATAGAAAAAATTTCCCAAGGGCATTCTGAAAACCATATTTTCTGCATCTTCTGTGCCATTTTGATCTGGTTATAACCACTGAACCCATCCATGAAGAAGAACATCTGAAGGCCCGCAGTAGAATCAACAAGTGTGTTAACATGGGGCAATGGAAATTCATCTTTTGGGCAGGCCTTATTCAGGTCATGAAAGTCTACACAGACCCTGATTTGGCCGTTCTTCTTCGTTGTAGGCACAATATTTGCTAACCAAGTTGGGTGTTGTATAGGCTCAATGAACTTGGCCCTCTACAACTTTTCTATCTCCGCCTTAATCTTTGCTTCAAGATTAGGGTGATACTTTTGAGCATGCTGCTTGATTAGCTTAGAGTTGGGGAAAGTGTCTAGATGATGAGTGACAAGGGATGGGTCAAGACCATGCATCTCGTCGTATGTCCAAGCAAACATGTCACTGTACTGCTTCAATAGTGTTATCAATTCTGCCTTAGCTACTGGAGCCATTGTATCGCTGATAAACACGGGCTTGCTCTACCCTGGTAAGTCACTGAGATTGACCTCAACAAGTACCTCATGCTGCGGTTTGGGTCTATCTTGCATGCATTCAAGGACGGGCTCAGTTGTCTCCACCAACCCTTCTTGGGACTCATCACCATCACATTTGTTTGCCTCGAGGCCATCCTCCCAAGGTATGAAGTCTGGCCCCCAAGACCGTCAGATGTAGTAAACTGACTTGCCGCCCTCGCACACCTTAACAATCTTGGACAGTGGACTTATGGGCTTGCTGCTTCTCTTTTGCCCACTACTTTCTGGAGCAGCCTCTGTATCTCGAACGTCTTCCCACTTTGACAATTTTACCTCTGTAACATTACCAGTCCTCGGAATTTCATCCGTTAACAACTCAGTAAAGAAAACTGCATCTGAATAGTATGCCACCTCCGCTCTGAATGGCTTTCTAGACGCATTTAAGGTCACTGTGCGCTTTCCCAACTTTGCCTTCACGCATTGGTGATAACTTGACGGGATAACCCCATATCGGTACATCCAAGCTCTACCAAGTATCATATGGTAGTTTGTGTCTGCTTCAATCACATGGAACTTAGTTGTGGAATGGATCTCACCAACTGCTAAGTCCACGACAACATGGCCCTTAGTAACTTTTTTCTCATCACGAAAACCCATTATAGTGATAGATTAGCGAATCATCCTGGACTCTGAAATACCTTCCTTTGTAAAGGTGTTAGTAGTGATGATGTTTATGGACGCCCCACCATAAAAGAAAGCACGCTTAAACTCTACATCATAGATGTAAGCCGTGTCAAAAAGAGGACGGTTATGGGGGAATGGGTATGCTCTATCTGCTTCAGAAAAAGTAATGGCCCCATAATCTTCCTGGATGCACCGAGGCACATACACCTTAGCCTCAGCAACTTCATCATGGTGCACTTTGAAGATGTTAATGAGGGCCTTTGTTATTTCCAACTTGGTGGCTTGGCTCAGCCCCAGCTGTTCAAACAAGGTGCGAAACTTAACAAAGTTTTGGAAGGCCTGAGCATGAGTATCTTCTGCGCATTTTGCCTCTGTAGGTACTGTCTCAGGGAGTTGGCTGCTAGTGATTTCTTCTAACTCATCATAGTAGGACACCATGTGCACTTGATCGTGCATAGGCCCAGGTTACCCAATTATGTGTACATTCTTCCCCTTCTCTTTCTGGTTAGGATAAGGGTCCTTTCTTACATCATGATTACCGGCATCTTTGAACTTGAGCTCATTTGTGTCAACTTTCTTCTCGAAGATACTTTTCAAAGTCCAACAGTCCCTAGTAGGATGCTTGGTGGTTCTATGATAGACACAATAGTCTGGGCTTTTTTTGTCTTTCTTGGTTGGGGGGACATTAACCAGAGGCAAAGTAAGTTCACCATCGGCTACCCATTCTTTAACCATGGCCTTAACATTCTCAAGGCTACAAGGATATGGATTTCTGTCCTCATAACTCTTCCTCTTCCAAGATGATGACGCCTCCCCTTGCGAGCGGCTCCTTCCTATAGAGGTTACCGCAGTAACTCTGCTACTGTGGGGGTAGCGTTGGTTGTCACGAGATCTGTGCAAAGGACTAGTGGTACTGAGGTTCTTGGCTACCTCAATCAAGGCTGAAACGGTAGGCAGATTATGATTCACCAAGAAAAATTTGTGGTCGCGTATGACACCCTCCACATATATGCTGACTAAATGGGCCTCATCCACTGGTTCGTGACAATGAATAGCCTTATCTTGGAACCGCTTAACATAGTCTAGTATATCTTCGCTTTCTTTTTGGATGTCTCACCCAAGTGTGAGGGTTAGAACTTGGTGTGGAACTTGTTCACCATCTCTTCCCAGCTCTTGATCGCGTTGCCGGCCAAGTTCACGTACCAGTTGTATGCCCTTTCAATAAGTGATTTAGAGAACTCCCGAAAGCGCAGAAGGTGGTCACTGCCATAGACACCAAGAGTTTCAAAGAACCTCACCACGTGTTCTCTGGCATTGCCTGATTTCCCATCAAACTTAATAAACTTGCGCACTGTATACCCAGTTGGGTATGGCATGGTCAATATCTCTTGAGAGTATGAAGGTTTCACATCTGGGTCTGGAAGAGATAATAGTTGCTTCTTGCTACATTCTTTCTCAAGCATAGCTTGTACATCGGCTAGAGTAACAAAGTGAGTGGGTTGGAACGGTCCAATCTGGTCCTACGTAGCTTAACCAACAACTATCCCGTTCGCCTGATGTACCACTGAAGGCACCTAGATCGGAGCCCGAACCTCAAGAAACCGGTTAGGCACTGGGTTTGGGATGGCTACAGGCAGAGGTGCTTGCGCTAGAGCTGGTCTAGACGCCATGGCCATAATAGCCTTAGTAAGGGTTTGTAAAGCTACTAGGATCTCTCTCTGCATATCCTGGAGTGACTGACTGCCTCAACCAAAACACTGTGGTTTTGGTCCTCCGAATGTGCTGATCTACCATTAGAAGAGCCTCGCTGCCGTGGGGGTTGCAAAACTTCATCCTCTGCCATCTTTTCTAGTGAAGTGTGTAAACCACTACGGGTATGAACCATTAACAAAATACCCTCCCCAGCAGAGTCGCCAAAAATGTAGGGGTTCGAGGTTAGAGGAGTGATTAGAGAGGCAAAACTATGCTAATGGTCCAATGGTGGTGGAATAGCTAGAGGATGAGCAGTAGTAACTATCTGGGAGTTAGAGAGTGTATAGCTGGGTGAGGATGAAGAAAGTAGCTCAAGAAGAGGACAATGGCAGTACCGAAATGGGCAGGATCTTCCCCAAATCCCCAAAATTCCTCATCTTGAACCTTGGGAAATGGGTCCTATTTATAGGCTTTTCCTTGGTGTACGAAGAGGACACCAAGTGGCCAAATAGAGAGAAGATAGGTGTCCCTAAGGATCACCTAGAATATTCTACCTTGAGCCACCAGGCTGAAGGTGCCACGTGTCCCTCAACATGTACTGTGCACTATCTGTTTGCCTCTGCAACTACCTTTTTGAGCCTTAGCAAGTGTAATTGCGACGACAGCGTTTGGCGTTGCAACTCCCTTTTGAGCCTCAGCAAGTGTAGTTGTCGCGGGAGTGCTTTTCGCTACACTTGCCTTCTCAGCTCGAAGCTCAGCAAGTGCACTTACAACAGTAAACCTTGCTGTTGCACTTGCCTTCTTAGTTCTACTTGGCTAGTACATGCATTCTTAGGACTCCATTAGTCTACTATTGACTATGTTCCTGCTCGCCCCAACGAAGCCTGCACCATTAGCCATCTAACCACAAACTCCCCAGCTTCCCAGGGTGAAAGCCATAGCCAAGCCTGCTATCAGCTATGTTGTGCCTCAGTACCAAGCCCAAGGGGGCTTCCTTAGTGCTTCCTGTGTGACTAAGGCAGGTCCATGACCTGGGTAATGGAAAGGGAGTCCCTTATGTTCGGGCTACCTTGCTTCCATCTTCGCGGGTTTACCGCGGTAAACTAGTATCTCTGGGCCTACTATCAGCTCCAACCAGAAAGCCTTGAGGCCTGCTATCGGTGCCAAGCTAAATGAACTTTGGGGCCTACTATTAGGCCTAGGCTAGTAATACCCTTGAGCCTGCTATCAGCGCCAAGCACTAGCCTCTACTTGCAGAGGGGAAGCTTCCTCCA